GGTAAAACCTTTGTCAGAAGAAAATAATACCAGAAATTCGCTAACGGAAATAAAATTCGGAACAGAAAAGTCGTCAAAATTCTCGTTTCTAAAAATTGAGATAGGCGGAATGTGCCTTACCTCGAGTCGATCAACTTTCCCAACTACGGCGACGGACGAAAACGAGTCGAAGTCGCTCAAAAATCCACTTTTCTTCTTTTCCCTTTGTTTTTCTCTCTCCTGGGCTTTCTCTCTCTTCAAAATCGGCACTATTCAGATATTTATTAAGCAGGATCGTCCCGGACGATGTCCCGATTCGTCCCGGGACGATCTTCTCTGGACTCAATCGTCCAGACGAAAACAAATTCCAATTTCTTCGTCCCTGGACGAAACTCTCTGTCTGGGTTCGTCCCGACCCTTCCAGGTTCGTACAGACGAATATGCATATTTTCTCTGTTCGTACTGGCAGTTCGTACATACTAACCATACAGATTTTCAACATTTCTTCAGTTCGTACAGACGGTTCGTCCCGTACTAACAGCACAAAATTTTTTTTTTTCAAACATAAGGGTTTCACAGCGACTCTCTCTAATCTTATCTACTACTAGAGTTACTCCTACCTTTTCACGTATATGCTCATTTCGTATCCTATCTCTAAGAGTAAGCCACTCATCCACCCAAGCATCCCCATCTCTACAACACTTAACTTAGTATTATGCTTCTCTTTTAATAATCAACATTCTGCGCCATAAAACATTGCAGGTCTAACCACTATCGTATAGAATTTTTCCTTAAGTTTGAGTGATACTTTTTTATCACACAATAAGCCTGATGCATTCCTCTACTTCAACAAACCAACTTGAATTCTACTAATAATATCCTCATCTATTTCACTATCACTATGAACTATTGACCCAAGATATCTAAAATGTGTACTCTTATTAATGATTTGATCGCCCAAAGACACAACCCCCCACTAGATCTGTTACTACTAAAATTACACTTCTTGTATTAGATTTTAGATATGCCCAAACGAAAATCTTTAGATCTATTTTTAAAATTTGTTCTCATCTAAAAATATGATTTGAATAAATTAAAATTTAACCTAGCATTTTTTTTTTTTGAATTTTGTGCTTATGCAGAACATTTGATAAAAACAAATTTGGAGTAAGCCTTACCCAAATCACCATGGCATAGTCTGATGCCTTTCTTATGTTTCTGCGCTTGTTTACGATGTCGTCTACGAGCTCATCCATTGAAAAGATTCATGTAACCAATCAAAGATCCACAAGATTAGATCACATAAGTGATGAAAACTTTCATTGCCTCCCCTGATCTTTGTATGACCTTTAGAAGTATTTGTTAGCTGGCAGCTGACAAAATACAATGGATGATGCTGATGCATGACCTTTGGACGAAGCTGAAAAACTGCCCTTTTCATGCGATTAGTCCATAATATCATTACAAATTAAGCCTACCCGAAGCAAATGAGAATTGGCAGTGATGCTGCAACGACACTCCTATCTCTATGTAGAGAATGAGCAAAGTAATATTATTGTTCTTATGGTCATTTATGGATAATTTTCTTTCAACTCTTTGCATAATTATTGCAATACCCTGAGAATGTGCTGTTTCTAATACCCTTTATTTTCTTTCTTCCTTGAAGCTTGTCGTCTGATTGATGATTATGAGGATAGGTTATGCTATTTATTTAATTTTTCCTTATGAAGAACAAGCAGCTGGTTATTAATATCAAGATGCACTAATTTTTAGTTAAGTTTTGACTTGATTGAATTTTACAAAATATATATTATGGAAGAAAATACATTACGCAGCTTCATATCTTTCATTTTTTTTCCTGCATGTTTGTTATCTGATTGAGGATTACCTGGATGGCTTATGTTATTTATTTAATTTTTGTAAAGGAGAACATGCAGCTGAATAGCTGATTATTGAAGGGTGCATTCTTTATATGTCTACTTTTTTATTTGGTTGAATTTGACAACATATATTTTGTATTATGGAAGAAAAAGCTATTATACAGGCTCATAAAGCTATGGCTATAGGAAAAATATATGTTAATTGTTTCTAAGGTGGCTTTCAAGGTATTTTGCATTTTAAACAACTATTTAGTCTTACATTTCACCATCAAAAGCAAATATCACTCTTTTCTTGCAAATATAATTCCTCATTGTTTTTTAGACTTGGGCAATGATACATCTAATCAACATCTCTATGAACATTCCTGCAACATTTAGCAATTATGAAATTTTGTTTAGTTTCTTTATGATCTTCACCTTAAAATTTTCATGTCTATTTGTATTTTCTTTCGTTGCTTTTATTTTTAAATTGTGATCATAATCTCTTGGGCTTCTGGAAATGCAGATGCTCGGTTTCTTTTCTGCTGGTGTTGTTCTTAATCAGTTTGGTTTATTCAGAAACCTTACGGATGTTAAGGTTCTCTCTGAGTGGGGAATTCTTTTTCTGGTACTTTAAAATCTTTACTTCGCAGTTTTTTTTATTTTCAAAATCTTCTGATTTTGATCCTTATTGTAAGCTTTATCATATTTTATCTAAAATTTAATATTCCTTTGCGTTGGCCAAAATACTTGTTTATAGTTGACTTTTTTCCGTAGGAAACATGATTAAATATCTGTTATAAAGTTTATTGTTGAACATTGCACCTGAACTCCACTTCTTGCCTTGGATTTACTATCTTTGTCAGCTTCAGATCAGCTTAATAGTCCTTCAGAAATGCAAAACAAATAAAAACAATAAAATATTCCTGCTTAGAGATATGTTTCTAATGATTCATTTACTAACAAGTATATTATTCTCTAAGTTATGGCTTTCCGTTTACTTTGAGAAAGATTATAATTGACTCAAGAAAGCTTGGAATTCTCATTAAAATGATTATATGCAAATTATTTGAACCATTCCATAGTAGTGCTTAACTGCTTAGAAAAGTGATCTTAGTCCTGGCATCTAAGGGATTCACACAATATTAAAGTTCGGCACTATGCCAGCTTGTTATGCTTTTACATTCACGTTATGACTATAAAAGTAAAAAGCTCAGTCCCACCTAAAGTCATCATGTGACGATTACTATTATGATAGGAAATACTTGAGTTTGCTAGTAATCCTATCGGATTTACTTGAGTCCGCAAGTGACCATAGAAATAATTGATTCAAAACAGCGAGAAAAACAATAAAAACTGGACAAATCAATCTAGAAAAGATAGATTGCGATAGTGGAAGCAAAGCAAAGCAAAACTCAAAGCAAGATACAAGTGATCCTCAATTCGAGAGGAGGATCGTCTCTCCCAAATCTCTAGACAAGAGAGTCTAGAGCCCAAGTCGCCAAGAAACCCTAATTCCAATCAATCAAAACATAATATCCCCCTAATCCTGTCATGCTCTTTAATACAAAAGCTTTCCTAATCTAATTTCCCTCTCAAGCCCTAGCCGCCCCCTCCTTTTCAATTTGAATTCAATTTGGACAAGTAGGGCCCTCACTAGGGGCGGGGGACTCCAAGGGGGCGGATGGTTTCCGCCTCCTGTGGGCCGACTGGGCCGGTTCATCCTGAACTGACCTAACAATACTGCCCTCCCAAAGAATCACCTTGCCCTCAAAGTGAAAACTAGGAAATTGATGTTTCACCCTCTTGAATGGTTCCGACATGGCCTCGTAGTCAGGAAGGTTCTACCACTTGATCAACACTTTCTTAGTTTCATCTTCTTTATGGCGAACCCCCGTTAGCTCTAAAGGTTCCAGAACCACCTCTAAACCCTCAATAAGTGTCACCGGTAACTCGGAGCTGGCTATATAATCACCAATGACCCTTCTCAGTTGAGATACTTGAAAAACCAGATGTATAGTCCCCGTTGGTGGTAATTTTAGCCGATAAGCTACTACTCCGACCTTCTCCAACACTTCATAGGGCCCAAAGTACCTTGGAGCAAACTTTTCATTCCTCCTGTTAGCGACTGTCTTTTGTCTGTATGGTCGGAGCTTCAAGAATACCCTCTCCCTACTTCAAACTGGATGTCCTTCCGATGCACATGCCCATCAGACTGTTTCTTCATAATTTGTTGGGCCATCAACAAATGTTCCTTCAACTCCTCTAGTACTCAATCCCTCTCCTCCAAGTACTCCTCAACTATAGAAACTGAAGTACTTCTACTCCCAAAGTGTACCAAATGGGGAGGATCCCTTCTGTATAACACTTTGAATGGGGTCATCTGAGAAGCAGAATGAAAAGAGGTGTTGTGCTAGTACTCACCCCATAGCTTGGGTGTCTCCGACACAAAGCATCACAGGTAAATCTCCAAGCTCTTGTTGACTACTTCCGTTTGGCCATCCGTATGTGGGTGGTAAGCTGTGCTCCTCTTCAGAACGGTCCCCTGTAGCCTGAACAACTCCCTCCAAAAGTGGTTGAGGAACACCTTATCTCTATCTGATACTATCGCCTCAGGTACTTCATATAATCTGATCACCTCTTTGATGAAAGCTGACGCCACTGTCACTGCTGTGTAGGGGTATCGGAGGGGAATGAAATGTGCATACTTGCTCAACCTGTCCACCACCACTAAAATCATCGTGAAACCTTCTGAACGGGGAAACCCATCTATGAATTCTATGGATATCTCCCCCATACTCGTCCCGGTAGAGCCAACGACTGTAGTAGTCCTCTTGGTGACATAGCCAGGTATTTATTCATTTTACAAATCTCACATCTGACTATCATCTCCTCTACATCTTTATGCATCCCCTTCCAATACAGATCTGATGCTAGCCTCTTGTATGTCTTCTACACGCTTGAATGACCCCCAACAGCGCTTCCATGAAACTTCTGAAGTAAGTTTGGGATGTGGGTCGAGGTCCTGGGCATCACAAACCTCCTCTAATATATCAGTTTGCCCCCCTCCAATGAGTACCCTGGGTGGCTACCCTCTTCCTTCAAAAAATCTACCCTGATCTTCCCCAAATCCTCATCCCTCACACTTTCTTCTCTGATGGCCTCCCAATTAAGCATCAAAGGAACAAATAGTGCCAATGTCTGCAGCTCCCCCATACATCTGGACAAGGCATCTTCCGCCTTGTTCTCCACTCTTGGCCTGTACTGAATCTCAAAATCATACCCCAACAACTTGGATAGCCACCTCCGATGCTCCTCTGTCACCATCCGCGGTTCCAGCAGGCATTTCAAGCTCCATTGATCTGTCCTGACAATGAAATGCCTCCCAAGTAGGTTGAACCACCACTTTTGGATGGCCAAAATGATGGCCATTAACTCTCTCTCATAGACTGATTTCAGCTTGGCTCTAGCAGTGAACATCTGGCTGAAATAGGCAATGGGCCCGCTACACTACATAAGCACTGCACCCAGCCCGTATCCGGACGCATCTGTCTCCACTATGAAGATCTGAGTGAAATCTGGCAAAGCTAGGAACGATACCGTAGTCATAGCCTTATTCAAGCTCTCAAATTCTTTTAGCTGCCTCCCCCCATAGGAAATCGTCCTTCTTCAACTGCTTAGTGAGTGGCCATGCTATGGTGTTGTATCCCTTTACAAACCTTTTGTAGTAACCTGTCAGTCCTAGAAATTCTCTCAGCTCCTTCAAATTTTTAGGCACTGATCACTTTAGCATTGCCTCAATTTTGGACTGATATGTTGCACCCCTTCTTTTGATACAACATGGCCCAAGTGCTCTACACTGGTTTATGCGAAGCAATACTTCTTCAAGTTGGCCCTGACTGGTGCTTCTGCAGCACCTCTAACACCATTTTTAAATGCTCCTCTTCTGTCCTGCTGTAGACTAGAATGTCGTCAAAGAATATGATGCAAGCAAACTAGAGATAAAAGACACGTTGGAGAACACTGGGACAAAATATAAACCAAACTCGATTCACTATAGCTTACAAACAAACAAACAAACGTTCGAAGAAACAAAAGTTAAATCAAACAAAATAAAAGAAGAACATAAAAATGCTATCCTCAATATAACCATCTATCGGTTTCCTCACATGCAACGAGAGTAGGAAAATATAATAAAATTGTGCTTAGGCTTACTAACCAAGAGTCCACCACTGCAAATGAGTCCAACGTCCTACCAAACTCCTCCGGCAAATGTCTCCAAATTTCAGCCAACATACAACTTCCAAAGCTCAATGAGAAGGATACAGATGAAGTGGAACTTGCGTAGAGAAGAAGAGATTAGAAGTCAAGACAAATTAGAGAGGAGGAAAGGGGGAGTGGAACAAGATCTCAAGCTTTTCTATGGAGAAACCCTCATGTTTTTGTAGATATTCTACTCAGCTTTTCAACAACATTTTCCATCCCAAAACAACTTATTTTATAGGAAAAAGAAGGAAGATAAACAGCCATAGCACCTCCAACCAAATCCAATAAGAATTGGGGAAATGAAAAACCAAAAGACACCAACAGCCAACAGGAATTTTAGCACAGAAAACAGGGAAGCAACCCACGGAAAACCCCACTAGCAGCCACGGGAAACCAGCCAGCAAGGGACCCGAAGAGCCAGCACAAGAGACAAGGCAACGGTTCATGGGAAAAGCAGCCAGGAGGGGAAAACCGAGAGGGAGGACAACGGGAACAGCAACAACCAACAGAAACCGAAGAGACAAAGGGAAGGGAAGAGACACAAGTCCACTCCAACATAAAGATCTTGTAATAATAGCATACCTTTTTGAATTAATGTGTTAGAAAGTGCATTTATTCTCCAATCATTGAGCTAAACTTCAGCTCAAGCATTTATGAGCTAACACCAAGTGGAATCCACTTTTATGAGCTCATCACCAAGTAGCCATGGTCCACCCGAAAACAACAAACAACTCCAAATTGATAACGGCAAGTAGCCCAAGGACAAAATGGACCCAAGAGCAAGCAAACCCAAGGATTGCCATGCCTAAGCACCTTCCTACCATGATCATTGGAAGCCCAACCATCATAGGATAGCTTAAAAAACATAAAACACAACTAATATTGTTCAAAATACATTAAAACAAAAATAAGCTAAAAATATGAATGCATTAATTCCCCCCTGTTGGGAAAATCTTATCTCCTGATGAGAAAGCTTCCACAACTCTTTTATAAAGCTCCGGATGATGCTTTTCAAGCTCTTTTGCATCCATCCAAGTACAGTCTGTCAAAGGACGATTTTTCCATTTAGCCAAGAACCTCTTGTGTTCACCATGCCAAGTTTTTGTAGTTTTGACATCCATAACATCTTCAACCTATTCATCATATCTTAAAATGATGGCGTGCTCCTGCTCCCTCTATGGTGGCAATCCCTGAGGTGGCTGAAACACCTCTTGGAACTGCTAAATCAGCGACTGTATGGAGAGGGGTATGTCCCCTCCCTCTTCCAATCTAACTCCCTCCAAACTGTGCAGCTCTACCAAATATCCTGCGTCTGCCAACTGTATATCCTTCACCATAGTTTTAAGAGAAACCATGGATTTA